GAACATTTTTTTGTCTTGCGAATACATAATGCCATGACGTGTATTCCGTTACTCTCCAAGCCTGTATATATGAGCTTGTTATTGTACCTGAAATCAGCACAAGAAGCAGGTCTTTCTCCGTCAGTGCACGTGCTAGCTGAGCGATGCATTCTGCTGCCTTCTGAGCGTTCGCATCGGGCAGGTTGTGTTGCGCGCCCTCCATGACTTGGATACGGCTTTTTTCTTTTAACAGCAAGTGGCTGCAATGACAAATTTCATTAGTTGGAGTGCCTCCACAGTTGTGTCAATAATGTCAGTCAAGAATTTTAAGTATAAAGTAGTAAAGTCATAATAAAAAGCTATGAACATTTAAATTCATTTTCATCTCAAATGTATTTTTTTTAACATATTTGTCTTTTGACCTTATTCTTACATTTGTACATTTTACAATAATCTTCTCATAATATTATGACATTCTTGTAAAATTATTCTCTTGAGATTATTACAAAAAATTACAAAAATTTAATTCTCACAAAAGTCTGACTTAATTTTCTTCAGATTTTTTTGGGGGGTGAGGAATCATAACATTTTTCTACTACTATGACAGTTTTATCCTTGTAATACGACCATCAGAAAATTGACTTCTCACAGATCACAACTATAGTTTTTCTTCCACATTATTGTTAAAAAAAAATAACTATTCCGGCATTATTCTGAAATTACTTCTTTTTTGTAACTTAATTTTCACAAATTTACCTGTAATCTAACAACATTATTCAAACAAATTCAGACTTTTTTGTCATAGTATTCCAACTTTATTATCATGAACGACAACTTTTTTTATCGTATTTTTTCAACTTTATTCAAACTATTACATACCATACTAATTCTAGTAATAATAATTTAAATAACGTTTCCATCTTGTTGCTTTTGCTTACTGTTTGCCATGCTGCCGTAATGTCTGCTGAATGCCATGCGGCACGCTGATGATTCCTCCCACCAAGTGATCTCCCAGAATCCTCTCTGCTTCGGTGGCCATGCCAAGCACCGCTTTTCCAAAGCCCACCACATGCACATTGTTTCTTAGCGTGAATTTGCGAGTGCCGCTGCCAACAACCACCACGGAGTCGTCTTGGCGTTGCAAACTCTGTCGAATGGCGACATCCGGCTGCACAGCTTCCACTGCCGCCGCAAACAACTCACGCGCCCGGCAGTATAGTGACATTTTCCTCCTCCCCAAGAGAGCCAAGAATGGTTGAGGCCGGATCAGGGAAAGAACACGAGCCATAGATGCCTGAAAGAGTTTGCCTGAGAGCAGGAAAAAACATATATACAGCATAGTTTTCCAGTGGTTCTCCAATGCCACTTTTCCATTGCACCAGTTCTAACCAAAAACAACCTGGTTCCACCTTCTGTGGTCGCCTTTCCATGACACTTTTTTCGAGGTTTTGCGATGACAATTGCACCATTCCTCAAAACCTCTTCCAACCTTCTATTCATCTTTTGAGCTAAAACCTAAATGTCAACAGTATACAACAAAAACAAAGGAATTTACTTTGCCGTTCCAAAACTTTTGGTGGGGACTGTATCTTGACACAATGCTAATCTGAGGTTTCGTCATGTCAACGAAAATCGATGGATCACTTTGAGTCAATTGGCTTCATTAGCTACATTCACAAGTTGCCATAAGTTAAAACTGATAACTGATTCACACGTAGAGGCCCACTGCTGAGACCTACCTGCAACAAAGTTGAAATGGAAGCTTCGTCAGTGTGTTTCAACTTAGTAAGCGAGCTAGTGTTTCAAAAGTCAAACTACCAACTAAAAAAACAATGCATCGTGTGTGTAATGATTGACTTGGACTTACCACATGAGGCAACACCATTACCTCCACTGCACACATCTCGTCATTTGTCCCACTGCAGGGTGTGCATAACCAACATAAATGGAAAAGAATACGAATACGTTTTTAGCAACCAAGCCGTTTTACCGGTAACATTTGATTCATGAGTTGTATTTTTAATGCATCAGGTGAAACTTAATTCAAAACATCTTAAATGGGAGTAAGCACATACCACGTGTTTCTGCTTAACCACAAATAAAGTTCAGATGTTCTAGTAGACCTTGCCTGACATTTTTGCTTTCGAGCAGAAGTCTCACGGTTTTGTGCAAACACTAACTGCTATTTAGAACAATAGTCTTTTTTTTTTTTTTTTTGCATGAATTGTGCATGTTACACGTAACATTAAGGGTGGCAATTTCAACTCTGTAATGTTTGAACACATAAGGAGCAAAGAGTTCTGTCAACACAACAACCCTTCAGAAACACCTCAGGTTAAAACTACAACACAAAATGCGAGGCAGTTATGATGAGGCGGAGTCACACAGACTGAGGAAGAAAGTATAGTGCCTTTCCCTCTGTGCCACAGACAGGCATAATGGGGGTGTGGGGGGTAGATTTTCAAACTAATGAATTGTGAACAAGTGACAAAATGTTTCGATGAACACCTGCTTGAGTTCAGCGTTAAGTAATATGTGTACCACTGATCATTTGCTTCCCTGGTTGAATGACTATTTAAAAAGTTAGATACTGTACTGTCAAATGTACGCAATTAATGTGGCCTTTATTTAATTCAATATTAACTGACAACTTAATTTGGTGTGAACCAGAATTGTAAAACAGCAGTTGGCTGATTACTTCCTCAACTTCTGAGTTTGAAATAAATAAGTTGATGTCACTTTTTTTAACCAAACACATTACACTGAATTTTACTTATCCGATACCACCAATTTCCGACTGTATCACGAGTGAATATGGTAGATATTTTCATAAAAATTAATAGAATTTACATGCTTTTTTATGACGATGGCACCTGACCATTACCTCGAGTGAGACGTCGGCAAAACCGACAAGAATCGTCCAGGTACGTGGTAATAGCTCCATACCTCTGAATTTCTTCGGAGTTGATTCAAAATCCATATTGCTAGTTTACGCTCCAACGTGACTGGAAAGTACAGCGACACTAATTATTACTCAAACACGTCGAAGCTATCGCTGCACAAATCAGAGCGTTCTCGCCTGCCTCTTTTGTTGTTTTGGTCAGCCAAGCAGCGTAGAGGAGCGTTATCGCCACCTGCAGGGGTTAAATTGAACGTACAGAAGTGTGAATAGCTTCTCGTTCTTCTTCTAGTTATGTCATGGCGGTTGGAAAATAACTTAATGGTGCATTACCGCCATCAACTGATATGGAGTGCATACCTGTCAACCTCGGCTAATAGCTGCCCTTATAAATGATTACGATTCCCCTTACAAAGCAACAAAAACCCGTACAACGGCTTTTCATGCTTTATCAATCCGACCGTACACAGCGATAAAAAAAAATATACGATTGAGGATTACTTTTGCTGGTTTGCCGTGACAATAGTAGCGATCGACGACGGCATTGTCGTTGGCTACCAGCAGGTGAGACGATCTGGATTTGAGCCAAAATGGTCTTTGTGAGATCGGTTCACAATAGTTTTTTTCCCCCGTATAAAAGTTGTAATACGCCGTACATGATTTGAAATGATAAAAAAAACTTATAAAATACGGGGAAAACGTACAAGTTGACAGGTATGGGAGTGTGAGTTCTAATTTCGATCATCATGTTGGGGAAAGAAAAAAACTGACACCCACAAGTATACATCCATCAATTTTCCGATCCGCTTTATCCTCTCAAGGATCGCGGGGGGTGCCGGAGCGTATACCAGCTGTCTTCGGGCGGTAGGCGGGGGACACCCTGAAATGGGTGCCAGCCAATCGCAGGTCCCCCCAAATATCCCAAAAGCATCTTATATTTTTTCCTGCTTGTGCTCAGCCTTAGAATGTCCCAACTAAAACGACTTTTTACGCGCAACAACATCATCAAACATCTTCTATGAATCTCATCCCTATCACACCAAAATAAGAAATGCTCAACTGTTTGTAATTCCCCACAGGTGCATCACCAGATTCATGCTTACCCATCCGTTTCCCTGAGCTGTCCTCATTTCATCAACCTTCATCTGTTTCTCTTTTACAATACTTTTAATTTCCGATTTCCTAAATTTAACACCTACCTCAACATTACCATGTCTTGCACCCTCCTTTGCACCTTTGTCTGACAACTCATTCCCGCGGATCCGCTACGTGCAGGTAGAGTGAATGGCTACATAGCCACAAAAAAATAAATGGAAAATCACAACCACAGCTTCGGATAGTAACTGCCACACATGATTTAGACCACTTTATTGGCTTATCTAACTATCCCTTCATCCAGCTATAGTTGCTTGAGAAAGTCTTCGGCCCTCTTTTAACCTGACTCAACTCGAGTTTTTATTTTGCAAGTCAGAAAGGGCAAAAAATATAATAATTCTCTTGATGTGCAAAACTGATAGCGACGTACACGTACACTAAAAGACTTGCAGCTGTAACCGCAAGCAAAAGGTGGTTTTACAAAGTATTAACTCGGGAGGGTTAAAAATTTCGCGCACCCCTCTTTTCAGTTTTTATTTCGAAAAAGTTTAAATTATCGTATGAATTAAAATCCTCTTCGCAAGGGTGTCCCACTTTGTGTTGATTTTTCAGAAATGCCACAGTAATTCTATTTTTATACAGTATAAAATGATGTAAGGCAGCAAGTGGTTTCCATGCCTGTCTCACGTTTCTGGGGGGGGGGGGGGGGGTCAAATCTGCCCTGGATATACTTATGCAAACTTGATTTATAAATGTACGTATTCATAAGATATTCAGACATATATTTAAAGAAATGTTGCTGTAATATTTTTGTCACATAATGTAGAAAACGTATGGTCAAAGCAGTCAATTTGTTTATCAAGTCCCTTATAACAATTCGGAATTTTAAAGCACATTGACCACTGGACTTAAGGAACCAGGGTAATTTAAAGGATAATTCAAGTAATATTTTAATCAACGAGCCAAATTCTGGGTTTAAAACTTTAAATCACAATCCCTATGAATAAGACATAAAGAGTTGATAAAGTAACTGTACAAAATCATCAAAATGCTTTTATTAGCATTCTCTTGAGTTGGCATGGCCATTTATTTTACAAAGGCACAAGTTACAATTTCCAACTCACTTCATTTAAAAGTCTAATGAATAAATGCGTTACATTCACAGTAATATGCTGAAAAAAAGCCCAACCCCACACTGTCTTATCGTAACAGTATGAAAACCTTTGCGAATGTTCAGCTCTATCTGCTCCTTCTAAATCTGCAGCTTTGTCGAAAGTGCAAATGGAAAACGACTGCAGTCAAGGAGCAGCTTTCATATCTATGGAAGCACAATAAGCAGCTGAGCATTCTAGATTTCCTCAAAACACCCCAAAGGTAACTTGATCCCTTCATACAAAATAATATTTTACTATTTATTAAATAATGCCTAATAATTTACAAGCTTATTTACTGACATCCAGTACAGAATGTTATCAATGAGGTCTCAGAAGAGTGTTGGAAGATCAAACTCCAACAACTCAAAAATACATAAATAAAATATGTGCCATTGACTGTCTTCTGACATGCAAAACCACTTCAAAGTACCTAACCACCACCAAGTGAAACTAGAACCATTTCTTTGTATCGATGCTTTTGCAACACCGTGACAATGCACGTTTTGTTGTGCGCTCAATTGTTCTTCATGCCACAATTGGCATGTTTGCTTGACATGTACCATGTTTGTGCTCGATAACAACACTGACTATATGGTGCGTTTTTAAGGCTGGATTTACATTACAGGTTCAAGTGCCGGATTCTAAATTTAATCCCGATATCACGTTTTTGTTTTTTTTGGGGGGACTGTCTCCAGTGACACATACAGTATCTGATGCGGCTGTGTTTACACTGGCCGAAAACATGAAACAAGATGTAGACAGCCAAATTGCACTGAAATAACTCACTAGTGCCAACAGCGGGCAGTGACAACACAAAAGTAGTAAACCGTAATACACAAATAATACAAATATTAGTTGGCCTGTGCTGACACACAATTAAAACGAGAGTAACATTGGCAATACTGTAAGTCACTGGCACAGTGGCGGCCATCTGCAATTACTTTGCTTATTTAAGGACGAACAAACCTCTAATGTAGCTTGTTTAGTTGTCTATATGCTTTCAGTGCAATTTTGAATGACAGCAGGTTTTCGTTTTTGTTGTTTGAGTCGATGCAAGTGTGTCCACATCAATCAGTGTATTTTGATGACAGCGAGTTAATACTGATGAGATATATTCCATCTAGACGTATACTTCCACACTCACATTGGCACATAAGATTCTGATTTGTATCCACTTTTGGAAGAGTCCTGATTCTGATCTGAAGATCTGAAGATATCTGATCCAATGTTTTTTTTTTCTTCTTTTTATGCTGCCATGACGCATATCCCACTTGTGCACTTGAAAGCATTAAAAAACAAATCTGACCTTAAAAAAAAAAAAAAAAATCACTTGAACATGCACTGTAAATTCAGCCAATGAGATTTTGGCACTTGTTTCCTCCCGATTTCCATGGTTCCCTGAGTGCCTACCCCGATTCCCAAAATTCCATCAGAGCCTGGTGTTTCTATGCAGGTCCAAATGCATTGTCACATAACACACAAGAAGCACAAGGCAGTGTTAGAGTATCACCGGGGCATGGGGATGCTTCACTGGAAAAATAAGAAGCAGAGGTCATTTGTCAGTGACGGTGGCAGCGGCCATTGGGCTTCGCATCGTCCCGCGTGCTGTTGCAGCAAGTTCCTCGATTTCGGCGTTGAGCCGCCGGATCACCCATTCCACGGCTTCACGGCCCTGGAGAGAGAAAGAGAGACAGAGACAGAAAGTGACAGAGATACAGTGAGTGAGTGAGTGAGAGTGGGAGAGAGGAACATGAAATAATGAAATACAGTCTAAAGAGATAAATGAAGCAGCAAAAATGTCCAGCTTCCCAGGTAGTATTAGAGATAAAGTGGGCGAGTAATCGATTCATTTGAGTTTGTTAGAACATTTCTTGTTTTGTTTTTGCAATTCCATTGCAAAAACTGTGTTAGGTTCACTGAAAGCTCAAAATCATCCACAAGGGCAAATGAAAGTGTGAATGCGTGTCAATGTGCTCTGCGACTGACTGGCAACCAGTCAAGGGTGTACTCCAATTTAAAAAAAAATGTAGCAATGAATGAAACTAAAACAGATTAAAAATTAACACTTGAACGCTTGAAAACTTTGTTCTGCTCCTTCAAAAATTTCTGGACCTCCTAAAAGTTATGTCTTATATTTTAAGTGCAGGCACCAAGCAGTCACTATGAACGTGTGGTAAATCTCCTACCTTTCCCGCATTGGTTGAGATGGTGCTTGCTAGAATGCCCTCCAAGTAGCTGCTTAGACTTACTCCTTTTACAGATATGATGGCTTCTTGTGTCAGGATTGTTCTAAGGAGAAGAATTTTTAAAAAAAATACTTAGGAATTGTCATTCTTGTTTGTTGGATCAGTAATCTTCTATTAACCTACTTTCGAGAATCTTCAGGGTGGGGTTTATACGTTAGCTTCTCATCCACAGACACCAAGTTGGTGAATGTAATCTGCAACGTGGGGAGAGATATCACAAAAGGGCAAAGTTGGCAGATGAGCCTCAAAACAATACAGCACAACTCCACTCGATTATACAACAGGCAAGTTTTCATCCCAAAAAAGGTCATTAGCACACTACTTCACAACCATTAAAAAGTGGATCTACGAGGGGTGTGTGCATTAAAAACTGCCAACGTTTGTATCAATAGCCTTATAAATGCATTTTTTTTTTAAATTCCATATCAGTCTCATTTTTATGTAAGATGACCTAAACTATTAAATACTCACATTTGTGGACTGAAGTTGCAAACTCTTCTCGAGTGGATCCACGACTGAGTGCTCTTGAATGTACGTACACGTCCGCGTGTTGCCAATGATCTGGGGACAAATGTGAAGATAGAATTTTGATTAAACCTTGGGAAAATATAGATAATGCCAAATACTATCCATACATCCATTTTCTAGAGGGCTTGACCTCATCAGGGTCTTGCTCGTTAGTTGGAGCCTGTCAGATAGATTACAAAAAAGAAAAAAAACAGCTGCCAAAAAGTTCCCCACTCCTGCACTAAATGATCCACTTGTAATCACACTCGGGACAGACAATGCCGTGAGCATCATTGATTTGAGGGCGGAATTAAAAAAAGATATTCATTGATGTGATCGCAGTTGGTGAGCACACATCCTAAGACATCCTTGTAGAAGTCAGCTGCCGATTGAGCGATGTGTGTTCAGACTGCAAAGCTGCACAATAGCTCGCTTTAGCCAGTTGTCCTTGCAGAGGTCACGAGGGCCGCGAAACAGGAGACGGGCACCAATGAATTTAGTGTTCTCATGAGCGCTTGTTTTAACTCAGAAAGTTACATCACATGCCGTCACGGGTTGTAGCGCTAACTTGGTAATCAGAGTTACTACACTGCAGCCAGAGCAGGTCCAACTCTTCTGTCCAAAGACAGGAATAGCACTGTGGGAGAAATTGGTTTGGGATACTCACAGACTTGACGATAGAGGGAAGACCCCACTCAGTGCTGAGAAGCCTTTTGCTGTGGAGCCGGCCCTGCTTGTCGATGGTCCTGTCTAAAACGTCTACCCCGAACACGCTGGGATTCATCGGGTTGGGGTACTTTTGCATCGCTGCCTTGGTCACAGTCTCCCAAGGATGACTGTTGGAGGGAAAACAAACAGTCAAGGCCACTTTCAAAGATTTAAAATGAATACAGCAGCACATGACGGCCCTTCCTTTTTGGGTTTGCATTTGATTATTTTATATTTGTGGAATTAAAATGAATGAACTAGAAGTGTTTTTCATTCAGCTATTTACTATCCATCCATCCATCCATCCATCTATTTTCTGAACAGCTTTATCCTCACAAGGATCGCGGGACGTGCTTGAGCCTACTCCAGCTGTCTTTGGGCAGTAGGCAGGGGACACCCTGAACCGGTTGCCAGCCAATCGTAGGGCATACAGAGACGAACAACCATCCACGCTCACACTTACACCTAGGGACAATTTAGAGTGTTCAATCAGCCTGCCATGCATGTTTTTGGAATGTTGGACGAAACCAGAGTACCCGGTGAAAACCCATGAAGGGTTCGAACCCACGACCTCTGCACTGTGAGGTCAACGCACTAACCACTTGATCACCGGGCAATATTTACTATAATTATATTTTTATGCTATGAACAATGCACAACATGAACGAGTTTTACACAAGTGAATCAGAATCAGAATCATCTTTATTGGCCAAGTATGTCGAACACACAAGGAATTTGTCTCCGGTAGAGCACGCTGCACTAGTATAATCATAAAGAAGGGAGAGTGGAGTCGTGAATAAAATACTTGAATTAGGGCCTACGGTATCTCGACCAGTTGTCATTTGAGATAATAACTTTAGTAAAATGAAGTACCGCAATGAGAAGTACCCGCTCAAAAATCCCATTCATCTACATATATGAAAGTTTTTCCAAAAAAGTAAAGCAATAATTATATTCCCTGGTGACGAATTACATTCATGATGGAGTAGTTACTAGTTCAATGACGTTGGATGGGAAGTAACTACTAACTAGTAACCACAAATAATTACTTTTCAAAAGTGTTTTGCCCAACATTGTTAGCTAGACACTTTCTAGAAAAATTTTGTTTTTGGAAACTACCTTCTCTCTGTTTACAAAGACTGTAGTTTGTACAAGCAGAGCATGTCAGCTAGCAACGATGGGTAAATATTGAAACGAAGTTGAATTTGTTTTGGGAATAAGTCTCTGATATGTCATGAATATTTAGGTTTGATAGTCCTACGGCATTTTGCACGTGGTAGGTTTGATTAGCTTAAGAATTATGGCAGGGTTCATTGGTTAATAATAATAACAACAATATAATTCTCTCCTGCAAGGAATCCCAGGACCCAAAAGGTTAGAGAAGCCCTGACGTCGGGGGAATAAAGTATCAGAGTCGGGGTCCTTTCAGAGAAAACTTGATGCAGTTTTCCAGCTACTGAGAGTCGAAGGTCATTCGTGTCTGGTTTCCATGGAGACGCGTGCACCCGACCAGACAACGAGAGGATAGTGACGTCATAGTGGGAAAAGTAGGGGAAAGGTTACCCAACTACACGGACCGCTTATGAAATAGGGACGCCGCCGACCTCATGTACACGCACCTTTTCACACTTGTCACACTCTACGATTATTTCAAACTTACGAGCTACGATATCATGAGTGACCTAAGGCCAACGAACATGACGACAAAATAAAAGTCTATCGGCAGCATGCTATCTTCTTAGCTGGCTAGCAAGGTATTTTTCCGTTTGAAGCTACTCGATTTATGCCCCCATGTATTGTGTAATCCATTCACAATACGACAGTATGACGTAGCTTGACTACCACAAAAAAAAAATAGCGCTTTGGGTCTCACTTGAATATGTGTTCCGATGTCCAAATCTTCATAGCGCGGAGAGTTGCGGTCGGATGGGTGAAGGTAATTCGCCGGGCTGATCCGTTTCACTGAGGCCGGTGTGCGAGATGCCGGCTTGAAGTCAAGACAAGCGTAAGTCCCTCCCCGTGTCCTTCCTCCTCTCGTTCGCTAGAGCTGTCACGTGACGGGGATGACGCACTTCCGCCTCAGTCAGCATGCAGCATGGCGCGTGACCGGCCTGCTGTCACTCACTTGGGGCAGTGAAATGCTGATGGCTTATTAAAATAGCGCTCAGTGACATAATAGGAGTTTTTCCTTTCAGTTTTTTGAGAACACGTGTACAACAGGGTGGGCCAAAAAGGTTTACGCTTTAATGTTATTATTTTATGTATATTTTTTAGTACATTCACAGTTGTCTTTCTTATCCGAAATCCATCCTTTCCAGACTCTCTTTATATCTTTCCTCATCGTTTTTTTTAATCTTGCATCCTTCCGTCCATCATTCCTTATGGCTCCTTCCTTCACTTAAACCTGATTTTTCTTTTTCACTCTTCCCTCCTTCTTCCATTATTTTGACCTGCTTTCTGTCTTCCTGCCTTCCCTACTTGCGTACTGACCTTTGCTCCTTCCTGCCTTCCTTCCCTCAAACCAGCTTTTGTGTCACATACCTTTCCTTCCTTTGCTTTATTTTTTGCCTTCCGTCATTCCCTCCTTCCTTCCATCTCTTCTGCCTGCTTTGCTGCCTTCCAATCACCTCAGATTTACCTGTTTGTTCTTTTCTTTTGATCTTTCTTCCCTCCTAGCCTCCCCTCTTTTTTCTTTCCTTCATGCCTCCTTCACTCACGCCTGCTTTTATTAATGCGTCCTTCCTTTGCTACTTTTCTGCCTTGCTCCCTGGCCTCCTTTCTTCCACCTCAGCCCTGCTTTTCTTTCTTCCTTTCTTTGTTCCACCCTTACTTCCTTTCTTCCCTGGCACCCATTTGTGATTTTGAGTCCTTCCTTTTTCTTTTGCATGAAACTACTTTTCTGCTTTCTTTGTTCTTGAATCAAATATTTCCCGTTATTCACGGCACCTCTTAAAAGAAACAAGTTGATTTAAAAAGTACATACTGTACTTACTTTTGGTCAACCCTTGTAATATACCAGAAGAATAGAATGCTTTTTGTCTTTTGTTAGCGAGTATTGCAAAAACAATCATTGGTGTTATACAATTGTCCTGCACGGAAGGTTGAAAGTTCTGCGCAACCTTGGAGGAGCAAGGACACATTTTGAGCTGCTGGCTGCACAATGTCAACAGCAAAAGTTGTATTGTAAATGGCATTCATAGACCAGCATGTCTGGTTGTATATATTTTTTTATTCCTTATAAACAGAAAAACTTTAATGCGGCTGTTCTGATTCTTTCACACAAAATGGCAATTTTATTTTCCCAGCATTGCGACTTTTTCATGTAACATTACGACTTGAGTCTCAAAGCAGTATGACTTTAATTCTATAGCTTTACAACTTTATGCTTTGAATATAACATTGTTTTCTACTCAAAATGTGACTTAGTTCCCGAAAAAAAATCCAAACTGATTCTCGCAGTAATTTTTTTTGAATGTCCGGCTTTATTCGGGCGACTATGACTTTATTCTCTGAACGTTACAACATTTTTCTCTTGACATATTTATTCTCACAGTAATATATGATTTTTTTCCCATAGTATTGCCACTTTAATCTTGCAACCTTATTCTATTATTACTACACTCTATTGTACAATTGCTTTTCTTAGAGCACACAACTGTTATCACTTACTTTTTTTCTCATGACTTTACATATTAATTATTGTAGCATAATAATTTGTAGCGCATAAATTTTGACTGACCCGTAACTGTTTTTTTTTTTGTTTCCTCCCTCAAAAACATCGACTTTATTTCTGTAACCTTCTGAGACTTTTTGGAACATTAAACCTTTTTGTCAAGTTGAAACTAAAGTTGCAAAAAGTGGAATTACTTATGTTTCCTGTTGTTCGTCATTCCAAAACGTATTTTCGGAGTTAAAGTGAACTCATTAATCCTGTATGGTTTTGGTGAAAAATAATTGACACGCATGTTAGCCTCTGATCACAAACCACAATGGAATACTTGAGTCTAGATAACTTTATTTCTGTACTTATCACATTGCACAGACACTCAAGGCAGTAAAATGTGTAATCTCAAAGTCCCAGGCCGCTCACAGTGGGAGGAAACAAAATGACAGCCAAGCACACTTTATCAGCGTCATTACGATCCATTACTTAGTTCGAGTCGAGTTAAAATTCTGTAAAATAGTTGAATTATACAAAGGAATATTAGCGCCACGCCAAAAAGAGACTAAATGAAAAATATGCTGTAAAATAAAGGTGAAACATTATGACAGTAAAGTTGTGAAAGAAAAAAAAGTACAACTTGTAACATTACAATAATAAGGCCATCATTTACAAGGGGAATTACGGTGAGGGAAAAAAAACACTGCTGAGAAAGTCGTAACATTATGGGAATAAAGTTGTAATTTTTTTCCACACCTCTCTTGCTGGATTTAAGTGGCAATCTTGCATAAGTCTGGCCATGAGTTGTATACTGTATTACTTAATTCTTGCAATCTTACAATTTTTTTCTTGTAACCTTCCAACTTTATTTTCATAACTTTGCGACTTCAGTCTTGCAACTTCACAATGTTGCTTAAATCTGGAAACTTTGAGACTTTATTCTGTTCACTTTATGATTTTATTCTTGCAAATGTATGAAAATTTTCATCATTTTATACGAATAACATTCCGACTTTAATCACGTCAATTTTAGACTTTATTCACATAACATCACAACTTGATGCTCAAAATTTCATGGCTTTATTCTCGTAATTTTATGACTTCATTATTGTAATTTTATGACTTTACAGTATTTTCATGACTTAACTTGATTCTCGTAAGAGTCTGACTTTTATCGAGTCACAACTTTATTCTCAAAATGTTACGGCTTTTACTCTGATACCATTCCCACTATTATTTAACAACATTTTGATTTCTCGTAGCAATGCTATTTTTTCCCATAGCATTGCAACTTAACCTATTATCTCTCTCTCTCTCTCTCTCTCTCTCTCTATATGTGTGTGTGTGTGTGTGTGTGTGTGTGTGCGTGTGTGTGTATGTATGTATATATATGTATGTATATGTATATTTGTTAACATGGTGTATTTTTCATTACGTTTGCATAACGTCTCTGGAAAGGCTTTAAACAAACTAATCACAAATCATATGAAATACAGATTTCTTAATTAATACAGAGACAGTGACACCTTTATGCAAAGTCAAGTATTTCTCCAGCTACCTGTAGTCTAGAGGACCCATGACAGCTCAGGCCAATTTCCAGAAATCCATCCATCCATTGCGCTTGTGCTCATTAGCTATAACCCATCTCAAGTGACTTTGCGCGAGAGGCAGGATACATCAAAAATGGAAAATTATGGCCTTCAGTGAACCTAACAAGCATGTTCTTTGAATGCGTAAACCCATATAAGCAAAGGGGAGAACAAACTCCACACAAGATTCCCCCGAGCTGAGATTCGATCCCGAAACTTTACAATTGTGAGGCAGACGTTTAAAGCCACAATTGCTACCCTATCGGCAAACATATTCTATTCAAATAAATCAAAGCTACAATCCATCTTAAAGCAACACACAACTGAATCTGTATTGTCCAGTGTGTATAAACATTAATAGTGCAAATATCAATGTCATCTGATTCCCTGAAAAAAAGACAAGCCGATTAAGTATCAAAATGACACATTCAAATCATACTCTAAAAAAATTTCATAAACGAATGAAGGACAATGAATTTTCAGTGGCGTGTTGCTTTAAACATCAGTACAGCTAAATAACAAGTGTATAAGTATTCCATAGCACCATTTCCTCACAGATTTTGTTCAGGCAACGTTTCAAGGTCAGTCCTCATCCACGGTTTCTCGACTCGTTTCTGTCACTGTTTCCTTCATAACTTCCATCCGAGACTGAATCCTTGTGGCTGTAGACTTGTCAGGCAGCTCCTGCTCGTCTTCATCCTCCATTTCGGACTCCATGTCAGCCGTGGCGTCTTGGTACTGCTGGTACTCCGACACCAGGTCATTGAGGTTGCCCTCGGCCTCCGTGAACTCCATCTCATCCATGCCCTCTCCCGTGTACCAGTGGAGAAAGGCCTTGCGCCTGAACATCAGCGCAAACTGATCGCCCACTCGGCGGAATATTTCCTGAATGGCCGTGTTGTTGCCAATGAACGTGGAGGCCATTTTAAGGCCTCGAGGCGGGACGTCGCACACAGCGACCTTGACATTGTGTGGGATCCAGTCCACAAAGTGGTTGCTGTTCTTCTGCTGGACGGCTAGCATTTGTTCATCCACCTGCTTGGTGGACATCCTCCCGCGAAAGACGCCGGCAACTGTGAGGTAGCGGCCCCGTCTGGGGTCGCAGGCCGTCATCATGTTGCGGGCGTCAAACATCTGCTGGGTGAGCTCGGGTACGGTAAGGGCGCGGTACTGCTGACTACCGCGCGCGGTCAGCGGGGCGAAACCAGGCATGAAGAAGTGAAGGCGGGGGAAGGGCACCATGTTGACCGCCAGCTTCCTCAGGTCGGCGTTGAGCTGACCGGGGAATCTCAGGGAGGTGGTGACCCCACTCATGGTCATGGACACCAAGTGGTTGAGGTCCCCGTATGTGGGCGTGGTGAGTTTGAGTGTGCGGAAGCAGATGTCGTAGAGCGCCTCGTTGTCGATGCAGAAGGTCTCATCCGTGCTCTCCAGGAGCTGGTGCACCGACAGGGTGGCGTTATAAGGCTCCACCACCGTGTCGGAAACCTTTGGCGAGGGCATTACACTGAAACTGGTCATGATCCGGTCAGGGTACTCCTCTCGGATCTTGTTGATCATAAGGGTCCCCATGCCGGAACCTGTGCCCCCGCCTAAGGAATGAACCAACTGGAAGCCCTGCAGACAGTCGCAGCTCTCACTTTCGTTCCTCACCCGGTCCATCACCTGTTCAATCAGCTCTGCCCCCTCCGTGTAGTGGCCCTTCGCCCAGTTATTGCCGGCACCCGAGTTGCCTATATCACCATAACGAAGGCAAAAGTTGGAGGCACAAACAAAAAAGAATAGACTTCTCCGACTGCTCTAAGTGACTCAGAATATGTAGTTGTTGTCATTTTACAAACGATAAAAAGTACAGTATATGCCTGTGAGTAATTATATTATCTGTCGACATGTTGTGCTTCACCATTTGTGTTCAAATGTATGTTGCGTCTACAACTCAATGGTAAATACAAATTTCTATTACATGTTAGCATTAAGCTGGCAAACCATTCTTAAGGCAGCATTGTTTGTTTCTTTTACATAACTTGTAATTCTCTTTGTTTTATGTTCAGTTTGACAGTAAACTTCAACTGGAAGCGGAAAATAAACAGTTTGAAGTATCTTTTTTTAAGCAATTGTTCACCAATTGCCAAACTGCTGCTTTTTGCAAAGTGAGTTGAAATTAGTTCACTCGATTCAAAAATCAGCCGAATTACAATTTGTATTCCAAAAAAATTGAAATTACTCATATCACAAAGCATCATTTGTATTCATAATATTTTGGACATGCAGCACACCATGAATGAAGTTGTCCGGCCTAAAGAGAGCACCGATTCGACTCCCTCTGATGCTGTCCATGGTTCCAGGCTCCAGGTCAACCAGC